CACGGGCAGCCGTGAAAAAGGTTCGTTATTCACCGTGTTTCGTGAAATCGGTAAAAAGATCAACGTGCAAGAAATTTTTAATTGTTCGTTCATCGTGAAATGGCAATTTTATTTCGCATTTTTCCGTGCAGATACCGCCCTTTACGCCCCTCATTGTTAGATACTAAATTTTTTGAAAAAATTGTATCAAAAACGAGGTAAAAACACTAGTTGTTTTCATTGAAAATCAGTATAAAGAATAAAAACAACATTGATTATTTTTTGGTCCTATACGTTATAATGAACTTTTTTTTCAATAAAGTTAGAAAAAAAATGCAATTGTGATAATTTATCTAGAATACAATAAAAGTCAATGAATTTCAATCAAAATATTTTTACACGAAAGTAACGCATCAATTTTTGAAATCGTGTATGAGTGAACAGTGTTTAGAGGATTAACAATTCGTCTTTACTGAAGCGTGAATCTTGTATGGATTAGAAATATAAGTTATACACATCATTTTGAAATAAAGGTTTCAATGAATCATACTACAGTACTGACTGCAAAGATCTATCTAGATTTTCTATATTAATCAAGGTATGTTCACGTAGACTGGTAACATCAACTTAACAAGGTTAGGGTGTGTTTTATAGAGTTTGTTTAATACCGTCTTTAATTATAATTCCTGCGTTTTTTAATGAAGTCTTTTATTAGATCATGTTAGAATCGGTGGAATTAAGACTTGATCTTTTTTTCCAGTGATATAATTTCAGAACTGATCAGCACCCGAGTTACAGAAGTTGTTGAAACTTCCCCATGATAATAACATAATCTTTATTACCTACGTTCCCATTCCGGCTTTTGAGGGTTTGCACACCGAATACAATGACGTTTCTGTTGTCACGGTCTACTTAATTTATTTTTAAAGTATTATTTGCCCTCCTTGTACATTGATTTTCACAATGCAACCTTTCGAAATAATAACAAAAGTCATGAAAAGATCACAAGTAAAACAAATAATAGAAGACCTCGTACGCCGAAGTTGCAAATTTGTGTCATATCCAGTGTTTTTTCTTGTCCGTAGTATTAAAAACATCAAGAGCCAACCCTTATTTAGAACGATGTTGTTTTTTACTGTCACTAGAAAATGCCGGTATTTTGGATAAGGATCCAAATTTAGTCTTGCAACAGGCTACCTACGGACCCCTCATTCTTAAACGAGGCATCGGATTTAAAGTCCCCATTCTGACCAGACGTGGCTGCGTACTTGGACATCCCGCACAGCCAAACGAACGACCCACATTGGCAAGGGTTTTACTGTCGGCCGGAAGAATACTAAAGTGGCCATATATCTATTCCGCAGTCACCCTTGGGGACTATATATAGACTGAAAGTCATCCTCTCGATTTTTTTTTTTTGTCTCGATGTGTAAGTCGACTATATTATATTTACATCTGCAGATTCCATACGGGAACTATCTTGCGTTAGGTTGAGAAAATGTGAAAATCAAATGCGAAATAATTCATGAAATGAAGAACTAACCCTCTTATAATTTATTATAGACGAGTGTTTATATTTATAATGGCACACATTACAAAAGATTAATTTTCCTAATGACTTATATTTTCGGGTATATTCATAGGCTTGTTACTACTTGGTATTGAAGTTGCTACATATGTCATGAATACTCTAATTATAAAGTAATGATTTAAAATATAACAGCTTTTTTCAAGTGCTTAAGTCTTGTTTTATATTTGAACTGCCAAACACATTTTCATCAAAAACACAAATTGAATGTATTTATAAATAAACAGCTGCGCCATGAGGGCATGATACGCCCGTCGCTTTTTTTAAAGAATAAAGTTTCAATAACTTCTCAGTTATTTCAGAAATTTATGAAAAACTAAAGGGAGGTTATCTTAATATAATAGATATAAACCAGTCACCAAAGTTTCATGAAAACAGCTCAAAGCACTTTAAAGATATTGTCCGAAAACTGGAAAATCACCCCCTTTTTATGAATAAAATCCCATAACTCGGAAACGTAAAATCTAAAATTTATAAAAACCGAAAGGGAGCTTATGTCAATAGATATAAACAATTCACTAAACTTTCGTGAAAAATGTAGAAAGCAAATTTGAGTTATTGTTCTAAAACTGGAAAATCCCCCTTTTTTAATGAATAAAACCCCATAACTCGGAAACGTAAATTCTAAAATTTATAAAAATCGAAAGGAAGCTCATGTCAATAGATATTTAAACAATTCACCAAAGTTTCTTGCAAATTGGCGAAAGTGTTTTTGAGTTAGTGTCCGAAAACTGGAAAAAAAACCTTTTTTAATGAATAAAACCCCAGAAACTTAAAATTTAAAATTTATAAAAAACGAAAGGGAGCTCACGTCAATAGATGTAAACAATTCACCAAAGTTTCATGCAGATAGGTTAAAATGATTTTGAGTTATTGTCCGACATGTTGACGACGGACGGACGGACAACGGTATACCATAATACGTCCCGTAAACGAGGGTATAAAAATGAATATTCTTTATATAACGCTTTACATGTAGAAAATCAAATCAATCACGACAAACGAATTAAATAGTATATTGCAAACTTAGGTTCATATATTTTTTTCAACTTGTGGTCATTTGTGCACCTTACGTCAAACTGAAAGTTATTAAAAACATTGTAACATCTACGAATGATGAACAATGAATTATTTTTTGAATACGGAACTTTTTATCTAATTTTCGGGTTTCTATAGCCATTTATTTGAAATCTTTTTGCACACCTGTAAATATAAACGCACGTTTCAAAGGGGAATTTACGAAACAATCTATAAATTGTCATTGTAATTAACAAACGTATTACCCTTACCAGGTTCAAAATTCTTACGTTATTGCACATCTTTCTGAGGGGCAAAGAAAAATGTGTCATCTCTGTCCGTTTGACTGTATGGGATGTATAAATACGCCAACATGTTCGATTAGAATTGGGACCTTATAGAGATCCGATGCCCCATGTAGGATAAGTGCGACACTTACTGCACGTTAAAGAACCCCCTTGAACAACTATAGAGGGATGCGTCGGTGCCTTGTAACAACTTTTGACCCTATCCTCCTTTTCCAGTGGCATTCCAAATTTTCCGCTTTTTATAACGTTTGACCTACCTTGCAGAAGCTAACTTTTGTATTTATTGTTGATGTGTTCTCTTTCTGTACATGTATAAAGTAATTGCCACTGAAAGTTAAGCGATCAACCAATATAATTCAACGTATTCAAAGATCAACATTACGTTTACGTCGTAAAAAAACATCCAATCCCCACAGAAATTAGTGAGAACAACAATCGACGCCTTTGAAATGCAGTATATTTCCAATACAAACAACAATATTATCTAAAAATACACTGTTCTTTGGTTTCAAGATATGAAAAAATACTGAAATAGCTTATTTAACCATTCGTGCAGTTCAGTTTTGATGGAAATATCTCGCTTTGCCACCATGGTCATGTTTCAGTGAGTTTAACAAATAACATTCAATAAAAACAAGTGAGGTAGAGTTTATTTATATATTTAAGCAGAACAATCTATATATTCACCTATTGCTATTTTGTATGTTGTTGCATTAGCATCCCCGTATATCTCGTTGAGTCTAATAAAAACTAAATAGCAATATAAGACAGGCTACCCACATGACAGTGCCTTGTAGTTTGTTTTATAATTTGCACATTATAATACATTATGTTATCACGACAATAAGTAATCATTTATAAGTTCCACTGAAAAGAAAAACAGTGAGGGAGATACATTTTAATAGGTCAAACGGAGTAGGTCCTGTCGTGCTGAATGATGATTACTCGTATAAAACGCTTAAGCCGCTAATCATCGGACAGACAACTAGGAGAAACTAATATCAATCTTATTCAGTTTTTTTAACCGTTTGAAATTACATCTATATGTATGGTCCCCTTTACTTAAAGAATATACCTTTTATTATGAACTAATGGCTTTAATCTCCTGTATGGAGTTGACCACAGACAGTTCTCAGTTACTGATTGACTTTCAGCTGTACACCTGATAAAACTCTGTGTGATAGTTCTCAAATACAAAGTCAAAAGTCGAAGTCGAAGATTTTATTGATATATAGTAAAAATCTGTATTGTCATCAAATTTAGAACAAAACATTCACTAAAATAGATACTGATTGACATACAGCTCTATAATTGGGTGTGCAGGGGACCATTGGAGAGACCAGCGTTGATGTGACATGATGAAGGTCAAATAACCCTTTTATGGTTCAATTTTGCTACTATGTTTTCAACAATTAATAAATTCTGCTCTAAGAAAAAGACTTTCGGAAACTGTTCCTTGGCTACTTTGATACCTACCTAATAATAGATCAGATAGTTGACAACCTTGTCGTTGCGAATCACACTTCTAGTTATTTACTATCTCAGAATCCTTGTACGACATTAAACTGTTTTGATTCATACATAATATATGTCACTATTTACCGTAATTCAATATGAACCTAAAATATAACAGTGATTTACTTTCATAAACATTAGTTTCAATATTCAAAGTCTTATCTTAGCCAATCCTACAATTTTTGTTTAAAAAGACAATATTGTCAGTCACCTGGAGCACAAAATTATGGGGAAAATGAATGTTACACCCACATTAACAATAATTTACTCCACATAGATACGTATTTAAAATTTTGTAAGCCTTTGTATAAGGAAACGATTTTTTCCCACAAGTGTTTTCTAGAAAATAGTTAAAAGTAAAAATATTAATGTTTTTTGTATACACATTTATCATACATCCTATTTCCTGTCCAAACCCTGTAACTTTTGAGTAACAATAATCTTAGTAATTTGCATAAACATACATTTATTTCATTTTCTTAATTTATCCATAAGTGTGGATGACAGGTCTTGCAGGGGGCGTGGTTTTGACGCCTCGATATAAAAAATGACATCTATTGTCACATAAAACAGTCAAGTCCATGTCCATGGTGGTTAATTAATGATATTCAAAGTTGTCATCGTTGGATTTATACCGTTGTGAAAAATCTTAGGAAGATTATTTCGCTTTGCCAGTCTTGCGATATAGATTGCATTTTTGTTTTTATGGTACTGTGTTTAAACTAAATTAGCACCTTTGGTAAGTGAAAACATTGATTATTTAATAATTTGAAAAGTATCTCATTTGCAAATAACAGTTTATTAATTTTATTTGTCAAATGTCTCAAGAAACCACTTAAACTGGTGATTCATCACTTCTCTGTGTATTCATTTAAAACAAAACCACACAATTAATAAAAATCTTAGCTTAAAATTATTAGGGAGCTAAAAAGTAGAGTTCTAGGAAATTTCATATCTCATTCTTTGAATATTCAATGATAGTACATATCAGGTAAGACAGACTTCATTTCTGCAATATCAGACAAGGAAAATATAATATGAATGTATGTATACATGTAATACATGTAATATCTATTTTCATACCTGTAATCACGTGTAAGGTTAAGTAAAAACTATTTCTAAATCGTTAATTTTTAAAACTACTTGATAACTTGCCAATCTCGACGATTTTCGTAAGGCGATAGAATATTTAATGATTTAAACTGATCAAGACATATATTTGCCAAACGGGATAATGATTTGAGAAGGACTGTTTTGCGAGCACTTTAATACGTTTGTACATATTGCTGAAATTACCCAATTAATGCACTGTGCTTAATCTACGATTGCTTTACCTTCAACCCTTCGTTATCCCTTATTTTGGTTTTTGGGTATTACTTTTCTACGAAAGTTAATGGCTAGGGCAGAATAATTTGTAAATATTCCATCTATACATTTTATATGTTTCATTGTCGTGGACTGATAGCTTTAGCCAGAGACATATATGTCTCTGCTTTAGCTTTATAACCCAAAAAGATTACATATGTACAAGTACATGAAGTTTAAATTAAATGCGTATGTATTGTTACATTTTTTTTTATTTCCCAGCGACAGCTATATTTTGAAGCCGAATAATGAAAGATATTAACCCAATGACCAAAAAATCATCGTCGCGTATGAATAACTTGACAGGCATTTTTGTTGTAAGTGAAAAATGTATATTGCTCAAAATTACATGTATTTTTAACGATATTATGCAAAAAAAGCTATACAATTTTAAAGTTAAACAGTTTTAGAGAGTTAATTCTTCAAGCGTTTTATCTTAATGTATGAAACACCGTTACTTACTGCACAATACTTCTTTTAGGTGTCTGAAAATCGAGAGAAGATGAGTCGATCCATGTCAGTGGTGGACGGAATGGCGGTTGCGCCCGGAGGTGGAATTGGTCCCACTAAAGGGAGACGATTCTCGGCCCCATCTGGGGCATTCGGAGAAGAAAGTACAATTTTTGTGAAAAGGCAACCATTTACGCAAGTTGCATTCGATGAAATTCATCTAAAAGAAGACCAGGATGATGATACTTCATTGGCCACTACATTGAAAAATAATTTATTCTGCTCTAAGAAAAGACTGTGGAAAATTGTTTCAACCTACCTACCTATTATCAAAGTCCTACGATACTATAACATCAAAGAGAGCATTGTAACTGACATTATGGCGGGAATCACAATCGGCATACTGCATATACCTCAGGCCTTGGCTTTTGGACTTTTAACATCTGTCAAAGTAGAGAATGGACTGTATACATCTGTCTGGCCAGTTTTGCTTTATGTTATCTTTGGAACGTCTGCTCACGTATCTATGGGAACGAGTGCTGTCATTTGCATTGTAACTGCAAGTGTGGTCGATCGACAAGCGGAAAACTTTAAAGCAACGTACGAATTTAATAATGCCACAACCAATTTTACGACCTGGGAGGACATACCAGAATTCATGGATTACAAGGAAAATATATCCCTATGTGTAGCCATGCTTAGTGGGCTTATCTTGCTGTTCATGGGTTTTCTACGACTCGGATTTATAACTGCATATCTTTCCGAATCATTTTTCAACGCGTTTACGTCCGGTGCTGCTGTCCACATTGCAACCAGTCAGCTACCTGCATTACTTGGTATCAATGTAAAGAGATTTGGTGGCGCTTTCAAAATCATATACACATACCAAGAAATATTTTCCAACATAACTAGCTTATCTTGGCAAACACCTGTTGTAGCACTCGTCAGTATTGCGATCTTACTTTTTTTCAAGGAATTCATAAATGAAAAGTTCAAACACAAACTCCCGATTCCTATTCCTGTTGAACTTTTGGTTGTCATACTAGCAACAGCTATTTCCTATGCTGCAAATCTAGCTGAAGAAGTCGCCGTTGTTGGAGAAATACCCGGTACAATTCCACCGCCAATCATACCTGACTTAACCGGATTTCAAGATTACTTTGTTGACTGTTTTGTTTTGGCAATATTAATTTTTGCAAATACAATTGCCATGGCAAAGATTTGTGCAAAGAAACACAACTATGAAATCGACGACAGCCAGGAGTTGATCGCTTATGGTATGTGTAACTTTGCCAGCTCCTTTTTAAAATGTTTTCCATCAGCTGTTGCCCCACCAAGGTCCATGATCGCTTCAAATATGAATACCAAATCAACTTTAGCTGGTATATTTGTAACAATACTTATGCTTCTTGTCATCATGGCTATGAGTGTATTGTTCGAACCTCTACCAAAATCTGCCCTTGCAGCTATAATTGTGGTCGCATTAAAGGGACTCTTTATCCAGATGGCTGATTGCAGAAAATTTTGGAGAATCAATAAATTTGATTTTGTTATTTGGTTATTCACTATTGTCAGTGTTGTATTCCTTGACATCGACTTTGGACTTGGTATCGGCGTTATAGTTTCATTAATAACAGTCGTATTCCAAACCCAGTTTTCACGTGGTTTCCGTGTTGGCAGAACAATGAAAGAGAGCGCCTTTGTTGAACACAAGAGATACAAGGATTCTATTGAATCAAATGGCGTTAAGATATTCAGATTTCAGTCGAATTTGTATTTTGCAAATGCCGAAATATTTAGAAACACTTTATATAAAACGACTGTAAACCCAAGAAAGCTACTTAAATTTTTGAAAAAACAAGAAAAGAACCAAGAACGCGAAGAAAAACGTATGAAAAAACTTGGAATTGAACCCCCGAAGAAAGACTTGAATGCATTATCTGAAGTTTCGATTATTCCTATAACAAGTGATGGTCGCAAGATGTCCAAAACATCTGAAACAAACGTTGCAACTAACGGCAATGTAAAAAAGAGCAGTTCCCAGTTGGCGCTAGTAACAGGAGACAACCCTGCATTTGCTATGGATGAAGTGAATTTGCAAAACAACGGAGTTCAAAAACAAACGAACGTCACGTTAAAAAGACCACTAAGCATAGCTTCTAACTTAACAAGTATTTGTGATGATGACGATGAAGTCGACCCAGAAGATGGAGAAGAGTTCGTAACAGACGACAAAATTAGACGCATGCGCAGAACACATCATATCATCATAGACTGTTCAACGGTTAACTATATGGATAGTTCAGGAGCAAATGTTTTAGGACACATTTCCTCCGAATACGAGCATGTGAACATAAAACTTTTCCTTGCTGGTGTTGCAGCTAGCGTACGGGATACTATGGAACATGCTGGAACATATGAAAAAATACCCCAACATCATATTTTCTTGGAGCTGCACGATGCCATAGCAGTAGCCAGAAGCAAGGGTGTTGCTCTATTACCACCTTTCTTGGAGGACTTCACGTACGACGAAGCAGCAGAAGAATCGTATGTTACCAATATGTAAATCCAACTTCGTTCATTGAAGACAAAATAACAATTTGCCATATTTACACAGAAACAATCATTATCATGGTATAACATTGTAACATTAACATTGTATTTGAACAAATAACAGTATTAAGAGTATTATAATGCAAGGCAAAGTTTTCCCCCCAGTATTACCATTGTAGATACAAGCATCCGAGGTCACACTTGATTATGTATACGGACTTTCAAAAATATTAAGCAAATGTATCAATGCTTTAAACTCATTTATCATATCAACTGGATTGTTTATAGCTAATAACATCTTTTTGTATATCACTTCTGTATCTTTTTAACTAACTCGGGTTAAAAAGAAAATGTAATCCATATCCGTTCATACGACGGATTTTTACAAGTTTTGAGTAACGGTTCATTGCTCTGAATCCTATGATAATGATATTCAGGATATTTCACCATTTAATCCTTGTATTTGTTTTGCATTTACATATATTTCTTTTAAAAGAAATATAGTATACCATGATTTCTGAACAATTTTATAGTATCACATTTTTCACCAACAGTTAGATCACTGTGACCTACATTTCAATTCAAGCTTGAGCGACTTTGGTGAAATGTTGTATTGAGAACCATTTCTTCGAAATCATGACGAAATGTCAATGAAGTATTTCCGCTAGTCTTCTACTATGGTACACACTATTAATCAATATTTGTGTCTTTATTACGAACATTTTTCTCATTAGATTTTCTCTCTTCTGTTTTAAGAATTGACATCCTTGTGTCACAAACGTAGAATTTAACTCACTCAGCGTGAAGCAACTTTTACTTTTTGTCTACGCATTCCCTTGCATTTTATTGAAAAATCAACATAATATGAAAAAAAAGTGTTTTGTCTTTTAATTTGTTGAGAAAGTAAAAATATATTTGTAAACAATGTGCTATGTATGTCTTATTTGTATATTAATAAATATGTATATATATTTTGTATTAAAGATAATTGTATTTTATTTTATGTACATTGATTTAAAGAAATATTTATTACAATTCCATTTTGTTGTTTTTTTATTCCATTTTTCCGTGTTGATATTTATGTTGATGCACAAGCGTTGAATCAGATATAATTGATTTATGTAATTCCGGTACATAAACGGTATAAACATTGTTGTTTTCGGCTATTGATGTTTTGGTGTTCGATCATGCTTGTTTATCTGTAGTTTCAATGTACAGCAAGTATATCAAATGTTTTTACAATAGTTTACAACTGAATGCGTCTTTTCATGCCAGGGTTATACGTTTACATCTTTCTTGTAAAAAAAAATAACTTAATTTGTTAGTGATTTTCTCCCATGATAATGAGCAAATCCAATACTTTAATTTCCCATTTATTTCAAAGAGATTTTGAAACAAAAAAAGAAGTCATTTACTGTGCGGCTATTAATGATTTGGTGTATGGTATTCTAAAGATGAACAAGTAAAAGGATTGAGCTTACCCGAGTATGGATTGGTGTTTAACGTCCAGTGGCAAATATTACATGCATATTACGATAAGACCATGTTAATTTTATTTTGATAATGAACCTGCTTTATACTAGACCGACTAGGTTTTCAATTTCAACACTTGCATAATACTATCGAAATAACACACATGCAAAACATATCTCTGTGTCAACAGTTTATTAAGATGAAGGCCAGACTTGGATTCCATTTTCCCCGACAATGGCGACAGTTGGTAATTGCATCCATTTCTATATTCTATTACAACTCAAAATTTGAACAAAGACAGTTTATGACGCGACGTTATTTGTCACTTGACCTTATTTTCACGCTTAAGTTGACATAAGTCTGTCGGGGTAGGGTATGTTGCCATATCTGATACGTAAATTGTTGCTGAGTACTAGTACATATATTAAGTTGTATCAACGTCATTTTCATGCTCCAGTGGTCAGGCATTACGACAAAACATTTCGAACACGATTATAATACTCTAAGACTCCGAATTCAACCAATCGAAATACTGGATTTGGTGTTTCGAGAACAAATGTTGTACTCCGAGTACTGAGGAAATTTTATGACCGAGGGCAAAGGTTTTGCATTAATTTGTTTGGTATTTTGATTCACTGTATCAATTATTTGATGTCTTTTGTGTCGTCTGACATCATTTTGTTTTGTCACTCCAATTTCAAGCTTTAGTCTGTTCTCAGACATTTTGCATGATAGGTCAAGTAACCTCTGTGGTCGAGAGGTCTAAGTTGTCCAACTACTGTATCACTAGCCTGTCAACACTGAGGTTGTGAGTTCGAAACGCGCAAATGCCAGGTGTGCTCGACTCAAAGTGCTGCGAGTGGCGTTTAACACCAATCAATCAATCATGATAGGTCAACAGTATTTTACATGTTGATTTTTGTAATAGGTCTAACTAACATTATATGTCATTTTGGAATTTACATTACATGACTTTTCACGATGCAGTGACCAGGTTCATTTTTCAAAATTTTGGACATCCCCAGTAGCTATGCATAACACTTCAAAGATGTGGGTATGTAATTTCTTTATTATTCATTGCAAGTATTTGTCCGTCTAGCAGAAGTCGAATGGCCTTGAACTCATTTTTATGCTCCAGTGGTCAGGTAAAGTTTTCAGAATAAGGCCAGTTCCTCTGTTGCCCTTCAAAATTTTGGTCCTCAATGCCCTTCAAATTTGTACATTATATGGCCTTTTAACTGTTTTAATTGGAGCGTCTCTGTTGAGTCTTTCGTAGACTAAACGTGCGTCTGGCATACTAAATTATAAGCTTGGTATCTTTTATGAGTTCTTTACTGTGAATACATGTCAACACTATTTAGATTGTAGACGGAACGTGAACATAAGATCGTCAAAACAAATATTGCATTGCCTTGACCGTATTTAACCCGCCTTATAAAAATAAGTTGATGTGGTATGATGTCAATGAGACCAAAGGATGAAAATGTAAACAACTATAGGGCATTGCACGGCTTTCAATAATGATGACATCAGGCCCCTCAATGATGAAATCCTATTTCGGATAGTAAGCTATTAAAGACCCCGGCATGACAAAATGAAAAAACAATTCAAAAGAGAAAACCAACGGCCTGATTTATGCTATAAAAGCAAACGAAAAACAACTGAGACCGACAGCAACCAACGACAACTACTGAATAACAGTCTCCTGACTTTGGACCGGCATAACTGCCAGTAAGACAGCTATCAACCTTACACCCCAGTTCTATTGTTATACTTCATAGTTTCTATTTCTGTCTTTAATACAAAGAACCTACTTCCATTGGTCTATTTAAAAACAAATGCCAAAAATAACAACTTGCTGGCTTTATGGACCTGTCCTAAGTCAGGAGCCTGTTGTTCAGTGGTTGTCGTTTGTTGGTGTGGTTCATAAGTGTTTCTCGTTTTTCGTTTTTTATATAGATTAGAACGTTGGTTTTCCTGTTTGAATTGTTTTACACTAGTCTTTTTGGGACCCTTTAAAGCTTGCCATTCGGTGTGAGCCAAGGCTCTGTGTTGAATGCCGTACTTTGACCTATAATTGTTTACTTTTTACCTTATTTATATTTGCAGTCAGGATTCTACTTCGTCAAAATTATCTCCCCTTTATGCCACATATTTTTTATAATCGTAAAAATGGAAGCCATTGTAGTGATGACTCGCTGTCATTTTAGCTCTTGAAAACCGATAAGTTTATCCACATAGCATCATTACGATCCATATATGCCAGTTGTATTTTAAAAGACAAATGTATCTACTAGCTATTGAGCATCATTTAATGTACTTTTATGCACTTGGTCAACTTAAAACTATTGTCTGATCGGTTGTCAGGAGGGGGGTTCGAAAGTTCAAAAATATTTAAAAAAAATTCTAATTAAATGTTTCGTGGAAGGGCAGACAAAATATTTTTCAGAGGTTGAAGACTAATTATCCTAGATAACACATACACAAAAGTTACTTTTTTTTTGAAGTAATGCATTTTTAAGATCCACTTGAAAAGTCTGTCGTCAGGTACTTTTAGTAAAATAAATTTATTCGAACATACCTACCCTGTCGTTATGACTCATTAGAAAGGTATTTCACTTGACCCATATATTTCATTTTTTAGTACTCTAAATTTTTAATGTTATATCAACCTAGAGCCTAAATATATAAAAATAATAGAATCTGAAGCGAGATGATGTATCAAATATTTTTCTTTTATACGTTTTCAAGACAGAATAGTCAACCCAAACACGCCTGAACATAAAAAGGTGTGCTCGACTTTCTCTTTACGATGAAATTATTGCTCATTTTGGGGATTTTTCCCAAAAAACTGTCGCCGGAGGCGGAGATGCAAAGAAGTCAATCTATTAACTTTCTTTGGATTTTTTTTTCGGCAGAATTTATGCTTATGCTAAAAAAAGATCCACATGTATTTGCAAGCTTAGAAGAAAACGTTCAGTTTTTGAAACGCTGCACCATGATACGAAATTTCAAATCAGTTTTACATATAAGTATGTTTGGTGGGTTATTCATAACATATATTTCTTTTGTTATAATTGATTGAATGGCGTTATCTGTGTACAAAACATGTATTTAATTAAGAAATAATTCATGGAAGCCATAGATTTGTTGGAAATTTACACATGACCTGAGCCGTGATATTCGAATTTTATCCTGAGCGTTAGCCAGGGATAAAATTAACGAATATCACGGCCCAGGCCATGTGTAAATTTCTAACATATCTATGGCTTCCATGAATTATTTCGATTCTCATAGGACAAAAACGGTCATTTAAAAAACTGATGCGAGGGTGGGTATGCCGTGTGTATGACTGTTCTGTTTTACCCCCTGTTAGATAAAGATAAAAATGTCCAATAAATCTATAACTTGCATGAATTATTTCTTAAATAACCGCTAGTAAAAAATGTGTTTAATTCTTTTAATTCTCGACCCCTATATTTGCCATTTTTAATTTACATTTTTTTTCTCTCGTAAGCTATCGTCTAATCCACAGTTGACATTTCGTAACTAAGGAGCCGCCATGTTGACGTGCTGAAATCAGTAAATGTGCGAATAATGCAATATGATAAAAAATAAAACAACACCTACCTCAAAACTCCATTTTAATGCAATATTATTCAGTCGAATTTGGAGGGTTCACTCAACGGAAAAACCTTCAGCTTTGGCGTTTTCATTCGTATGACGTCATGTTTTGAAATGACCTTAATGTGCTAAAAGCATTAATGGAATTTCGCGGAATTTTATTTTATTTTTATTTTGTACATTTTCCCGATCTCTGATGCATTTATTCTTTTTGTAATGCATCAGAATAAGAATAAAGGTTCTGTAGATTTTTTTCAATTGCAGTTTTTAACACAGCGATATTAGCATAGCGTTAGCACATATGTTACAGTACACGTGGATTTACGTTGGAAGTATATTGTAACAGCCATTATTATGTACATTTCTGAGTCTGCGCTAAGTATAGATATATCGAGTACTTTATCACGGTGCTGTTTACAAAGCAAAAGAATCACGTCATATTAGAATAGCATATATGACATTACTTTTACCATAATTTCATGCGTCGGTTTAATAATATTTCACTTCATAATTCATAAATCATTTTACATGTATATTATGCATCTTATAGATATAATACATCTTGTAATACAGTGCCATTTTACACATATACAAAAGTACAGGAGATGCGGTACTATCATTCACAATAAGACCATTGTACCATAGAAAATGTTGTCATAAACGGTAGATATTTCTTGAAGACTGACGTTTAAATCGGTGATAGTGCTGTCTATTATAATAGTTATTCTTAAAAAAAACAGACCGAAAGAATAGACAATAACCAAGTCTTATACAGACAGTAATGGAAAAAAATAGAATTATTTATACGAAAAAAAAGAATCACGATATTTTGCTATTATATCATCCGTATGACAAAAACAAAATATGATGGATACAGCAAAACAATTGTCAACAAATCACCGGGTATTTTTTTGTTTGTTTTTTTTTTGTTTTTTTTG